GGAAAAGGTCAGAGTGGATGTCAGTCATATCCTTCTCCTCCCCCACACCCCTCTCTTCGCCCCCACACTCCTCTCCTCCTCTACCACAGTCTCTCTCCTCCTCTACCACAGTCTCTCTCCTTCTCCCCCACACTCTCCCTCCTCCACACACTCCCCCATCCTCTCACTCCCCACCGCACACTCCCCTCCTCCTCCACCACTCTCTCCCTCCTCCCTCTACACACTCTCCTCCTCTTCTTCACCCACACACTCGCTCAGCTCGGCTCCCTCCCCTTCCCCCCACTCTCCTTCCTCCTCTCTCCTCTTCGCCCCCACGCCCCCTTCCCATCTCTCTCCTCCCCATTCTCCCTCTACCCCCCACACTCCCCCCACCGCCTAAATCTTACAGCCACCTTTTTCATCACCTCCCCTCACCTGTGCCCACCTGATGCACTCCACCTGTACCACCTTCACTTTCTGCACCTATTTTGTTCACTTTGGTCTAATTAGTATTTTTCATTATTATTTTTGTTTTCCTCTATCATTATCCTCGTTCATCTGTTCCTTGAGTATTGTGTGTGTGTGTGTGTGTGTGTGTGTGTGTGTGTGTGTGTGTGTGTGTGTGTGTGTGTGTGTGTGTGTGTGTGTGTGTGTTTCTTCTTAATTAGTCATATATTAACCATTAACACCCTATTGCTAATACTACTACTAATCTTATTACCATTATTAACGTTACTAGTCTATGTTGTTATTTAATTATTGTCATCATTAGTACAATAATTATCATTACTGTCATCATCATTATTTCCAGCAGGTATTCATTAATCATACAGTTAGAAACAAAGTCAACAATGGAAGGTATTTTCTCGTGCGTCAAACTGAACATTTAATATTTACTGTTAGTGTGCTCTCTCTCTCTCTCTCTCTCTCTCTCTCTCTCTCTCTCTCTCTCTCTCAGTTGTGCCATCATAAACACTATACCACCTCACTATACAACTTCATACAATCGTGTTAACTGCTGATAACATACATAACTATACACAGCACGACTCATACACACTGGTATCTCGGTGCTGTATACAATGAAGCAATCTAGAGAGGTGATGTATACAATGAAGCAATCTAGAGAGGTGATGTATACAATGAAGCAATCTAGAGAGGTGCTGTAGCCAATGAAGCAATCCAGATTTATTAACCAACTGACCTTCACCGTCATCAAAAATCGGATAAAAAATAAATAAATCTGACACTTATTAGTAACACCTGAGGCTTAAGGTGGGTTACAGCGTGACAGGAAGTTCTGATCTGACGCTTTAATCTGAACTCAGGTGTTACAAGGGGCTAGATGTAACGGGATACAGTAAAAACACACTTAAGTACAGACGACATAAGGCTGAGTTAATCGATGTTAAATGTGGCTGACTAAATCTATGTTAAATGTAGCCGAGTTAATCTATGTTAAATGTAGCTGAATTAATCTATGTTAAATGTGGCTGACTTAATCTATGTTAAATGTGGCCGAGTTAATCTATGTTAAATGTGAATAGAATTAAGAAGAAATACTAACATTGCAGTTAAAATTTCTGGCGTGAAAATTCTTTAAAAGATTCGTACAAGAAAAGTTTCTCGTAAGTGGAAATGTAAGGACACACTTAACTGCCTCACTTGAGCTAAACTACAATATAATGCATAATAAAATGGCCTCGCAATTACGCTGAGACTCTACATAGCTTCACTTAAGTAACCAGTTAAGTGACAATATTGACTTTGAGAATGCCAGAGAGAGAGAGAGAGAGAGAGAGTAATGAAGGTATGAAGATAAGAGTTTCACTGTAAATGGCATGTGTGTTTCTAGTACGTTTCATTGGCTATATAAGTACAATATCATAGTACTCAAGGTAAATAAGGTCATAGTACTCAAAGGATTAAGTCATTGTACTACAAGGGTTATAGATCATCGTGCTCTCGAAGGGGCTGTTACCTTTATCACAACACTAATTATACATGACTCACGAGGTTGTTATTGGACTCAAAGGGTTATAAGTCATTCACGACCTTCCCATCACCTCACACGACCACCCATCACTTTACCCCCACCTCCTCACACCCCCACCTTCTCACACTCCAAACCTCCAAACACCCCCACCTCCATCCCCACCCACCTTCTCCCACCCCACCTTCTCACATCCCCATCTCCTCACCTTCTCCCACCCCACCTCTCCATCCCCATCTCCACCTTCTCCACCCCACCTTCTCCACACCTTCTCCCCCCCCCCACCTCCTCATCCCTCTCATCTCCATCCTCACCTTCCTCCCACCCCCACCCTCACACCCCCACCTTCTCACACCTTCTCACCCCCCACCTCCTCACCCTCCTCACATCCCCATCTCCTCACTCTCCCACCCCACCTTCTCCCACCCCCACCTTCTCCACACCCCCACCTTCCTCACACCCCCCACCTTCTCACATCCCCATCTCCTCACCCTCTCCCACCACCCCACCTTCTCCCACCCCCACCTTCTCCCACCCCCCACCTCCCTCACACCCCCACCTTCTCACACCCCCATCTCCTCACCCCATCTCTCACCCCCCCCCACCCCACCTTCTCTCCCCCACCTCTCCACCCCCACCTTCTCCTACAACCCCATCCTCACCCTCTCACACCCCCACCTCCCCACACCCCCCACCTTCTCACACTCCCATCTCCCTCACCCCACCCCCACCCCCACCTTCTCCCACCCCCCCCACCTTCCCACACCCAACCTCCTCACCCTCTCCCACCCCTACCTCCTCCACACCCCACTCTCACACCCCCATCTCCTCACACCCCCACCCTCCCCACACCCCCCACCTTCTCACACCCCCATCTCCCCACACCCCCATCTCCCTCCATCCCCATCTCCCTCACGCTCTCCCACCCCCACCTTCCCACACCCCCACCTTCTCACACCCCCACCTTCTCACACCCCCACCTCCTCACCCTCTCCCACCCCTACCTTCTCATACCCCACCTTCTCACACCCCCACCTCTCCACCCCACCTCCTCACCCTCTCACACCCTACCTTCCATGCCCCACCTTCTCACACCCCACCCCCCACCTTCTCCACCCCCACCTTCCTCACACCTCCCCACCCCTCCCCTCCTCACATCCCATCCTCACCTCCTCCCCCCCCACCTTCCCCACCCCCCACCTTCTCCCACCCCCATCCCTCCACATCTCCCCACCCTCCCCACCCCACCTTCTCCACACACCCCACCACCCCCACCCCTCCCACCCCCACCTTCTCACACCCCATCTCCTCACACCCCCATCTCCTCACCCCTCTCCCACCCCACCTCTCACACCCCCACCTTCTCCCACCCCCACCTTCTCACACCCCCCACCTCCTCACCCTCTCTCACCCCTACCTCCTCACACCCCCACCTTCTCACTCCCATCTCCTCACACCCCCCATCTCCCACCCTCTCCCACCCCCACCTTCTCACACCCACCTTCTCCCCACCCCACCTTCCTCACCCCCACCTCCTCACCCTCTCACTCCCCACCTCCTCCCACACCCCCTTTCTCACACCCCCATCTCCTCACACCCCCACCTCCTCACACCCCCACCTTCTCACACCCCCATCTCCTCACACCCCCATCTCCTCACATCCCCATCTCCGCTCTCCACCCCCACCTTCTCACACCCCACCTTCTCACACCCCCACCTTCCACCTCTACCTCCTCACCCTCCCCACCCCTACCTTCTCATACCCCCACCTTCCTCACACCCCCACCTTCTCACCCCCCACCTCCCACCCTCTCCCACCCCCACATGTTACTGAGGTTATCATGTTTAAGACGTGTTACTGAGGTTAACACATCAAGCTTAAGACGTGTTACTAAGGTTAACACGTCAAGCTTAAGACTTGTCAAACACATCAAGCTTAAGACGTGTTACTGAGGTTAACACATCAAGCTTAAGATCTTTTACTGAGGCTAACACGTAAAGCTTAATACGTTTTACTGAAGCTTACAAGGAATGGTTGGTAACAAGTGTCCTCATGATGCTTAGCGTCTGTTTAACTACAGTAGAGACAGTCATAAGCACAGTTATAAACGTGTCCTGTTGACAGTACCTCACCTATATATATAATTAAGCTAACTTTAGAGTAATTTACTATGACATATTCCTTACTGGACCAGACACAGTTCAGGTATAAAAACAATGTATATTGACAGTTCATGTATAAAAAAGGAACAGACCAGCAGTGGAATAAGGAGATGATGGTGGTGATGGTGATGGTGGTGGTGATGATGATGATGATGATGATGATGATGATGGTGGTGGTGGTGATGATGATGATGATGATGATGATGATGATGATGATGATGGTGGTGATGGTGATGATGGTGGTGGTGATAATGATGATGGTGATAATGATGATGGTGATAATGATGGTGATGGTGGTAATGATGATGATGATGATGATGATGATGATGATGATGATGATGATGATGATGATGGTGGTGGTGGTGGTGGTGGTGGTGGTGGTGGTGATGATGATGATGATGATGATGATGATGATGATGATGATGATGATGATGATGATGATGATGATGATGATGATGATGATGATGGTTATTTTGTGATAATGGTGGTGGTGAAAATGATGATGATGATGGTGGTGATAATGATGGTGATGGTGGTGGTGATAATGATGGTGGTGGTGATGATGATGATGATAATAGTGGTGATGACGGTGATAATGATTATGATATTCCTGCTGTTATTGATAGTGATGATGATGATGAGTGGTGATGGTGATAACGATGATATTCTTGCTGTTGTTGATAGTGGTTGTGGTGATGATGATGATGAAAATGATGATGGTGATAACGATGGTTGTGATAATGATGATGATGGTAATGATGATGGTGATGATGGTGGTGATGGTAACACCTTATCAGATAATCACAACACCGAACTACACTATCAATATTAACAAGAGTAAGAACACAAGGTTGGCAACACTTACTCTGGCACTGGTAACCCTGCTTGCCGAAGCCCCTGAGGAAGGAGAGGAAAGTGTGTGTTAGTGAGGCTATATCATGGCCACTGTCTCTCTCACCTGACTCACTTTCACCTGTCTTTCTCACCTGTCTTTCAACTTCCACCTGTCTCTCATCTTAACCCGTCTCTCTCGCCTGTCTCTCACCCTCCACCTGTCTCTCATCCTCACCCGTCTCTCACATTAATGTCTCTCTCTCTCTCTCTCTCTCTCTCTCTCTCTCTCTCTCTCTCCTCTCTTCTTGTTACACAATCTTCTGACACACACACACACACACACACACACACACACACACACACACACACACACACACACACACACACACACACACACACACACACACACACACACACACTATTATATCAATACACCTAAAACAGTAACACTGATAACTTTATGAACTGGCGTAAGAGAAACGTCACCAGAACTGTATTGAGATTAGAGTAAGTTACGTCTACAAGAATACAGTGAGTTACATGTATATGATAATTTCTGGACTCGGGGAAGCAAGAATTAACATGTGAAACACTCAGGTAGAATAAATACCTTAATGAGAACAAGAAAATGTTTACAAAATTTCAGTGACATCCTCCAAGGCGCTGTGTGACGTCAGAGGGCGAGGAGGTGTTTTCGTCCTAGAACTTCTTAATCGTGTACGTGTTCCCTTTAAGGTATTTGTTACCAGGACGTTTAACAAGCTAATTCTTGCTTCCCTAAGTGCTTAATTATGAGTCATCAACACAGAAAACTTATTATTATTATTTAAAATATCAGAATATAAATAAGATAGATTAAATACTAAAAAACTGTAGTGACTCTTCAGGTGTCCGTCTGTCAACCAATCAGCTGCCTTGCTACACACAGACCCTAGGCCTAAGTTGCAAGGTTGGAGTGACCAGACTATAACTTACCTTACCCTAAACTTCGACCACAGATCGAAATCTTCCTGTTCGAAAAGAAACACAGACTGAGGTACAAATACCAGATCCAATCTGAAATAAGTTGTGTTAACAGATGTGTTCTCCCATCTGAACGGATTGCACGGGTCCTTAATACGAGGAAACATCATTATAACTTCGGAAAAAAAATCAAGCTTTTCAGACGATCCTGGAGTTCTGGCGTGCAGAACTCCAGAAGGGACGCACTGTAACTTTTCTAAGGGTTGGCCAGTTCCTCAAGGAACCGGAGGTTGTTAATCTTAAAGATATCAAGCGTCCAGTGCTTCATTACCTGACGAGTCTTCGAGGGCGGATGTCCCAATACTTTTGCAACAAGGACCTGGCACTGTACTATTAGGTTCTAAATCCTTTCAAATGCCCAATCAAAACGGTCCATAAGAGTCATCTAGATTACAGAGGAATTCATCAATATGAAGACGGGCAAACTTCTACAGATCAGCTTCGAAAGTGAGCAGACAAAACCGTCTTCCTTTTGGAACACTCAGACTGCGACGAGTATTTGCTCCTGTTTGTCTTCACTTACATGTGCGAGGCTGAAAAAATTAAAGAGAGAAACAATATAAACGCAGTGGCCGAGTCTGATTCACACGATGAACGATATGGACTCACTTGGCCGGGAGCGAGTTGTTTCCTCTGTGTGTTACTATTTGGTAATATTATAATGCTGAAATAGTGAGTTTATTCTCTTTCCCAAGTAAAAAATCTATTTGTGGCGTCTTTCTGATTGAACAACGAGTGATTCAGACTTTTCCAATTGGGGCAACGCTGAAAATTAATTGGGTACATCTGCCCTAACCTAACGTAAACTAAACCATAACAGCCCCTAACCTAACCCATCCTCTCCTACCCTTTATCTAACATAATTCCTAACCTAATTTAACTTATACTGATATAAACTAACATAATCTTACCTAACCATTCACCTACCATAACATAATCTTACCTTACCATTCACCTACCATAACATAATCTTACCTAACCATTCACCTACCATAACATAATCTTACCTAACCATTCACCTACCATAACATAATCTTACCTAACCATTAACCTACCATAACATAATCTCTTACTAACAACATTAACTAACCTAACCTAACCTGATAGCAGTATTATGCGTTGACACGAGGTGTTAGACTAGGTCAGGCTGTGCGGCTAACCTATATCAAAGATTGTGGGGAGAAACATGCTCACTGGGAGGTGGGTAATGGGAGGTGTGAGGAATGGGGGGGAGGATAGATAATGGGAGGAGGATGGTAATATAGGGAGGAGGTGGGTAATGGGGAGTGTGGGTAATGGGGAGGAGTAATGGGGAGGAGAGGTGGGTAATGGGGAGGAGGATGGAGTAATGGGGAGGAGGGATGGAGTGTGGGGAGGAGGATGGGTAATGGGGAGGAGGGTGGGTAATGGGGAGGAGTGTGGGTAATGGGGAGGAGGGTGGGTAATGGGGAGGAGGGTGGGTAATGGGGAGGTTATGTACTGGGGGGGGTAATTAGGGAGGTTGGGAATTTACCTATTTATTCATTCATCTATCTATCTATCTATCTATCTATCTATCTATCTATCTATCTATCTATCTATCTATCTGTGTCTGTCTGTCTATATTTACAAATCCATAATCTCTCTCTCTCTCTCTCTCCTTCTAAACATCTATCTATATATTCCTCAGGTATACAAGAGAGTATAAGGTGGGCGTGTGTCTATGTTATACAGGGTAAGGTGGGCGTGTGTCTATGTTATACAGGGTAAGGTGGGCGTGTGTCTATGTTATACAGGGTAAGGTGGGCGTGGAAGCCTTGCCTTAATATAACAACATGATCCGTTGTTTACAAGCAAGTAATTTCCACAATTATCTCTCTTCCAACCCACCACCATGACCTGAGAGAGAGAGATCACCATATACATTTATTGCTGTCAATCTGAATAACTGGAGGCGCCTGGCATTACTCAACTCACAGGGGAGATTCTGTAAGTCTTTCTAAACACAATCAGGGCAATGGAAAGGGCTGTTGCCTCACCTGTACATGATGAAAATTATATTAAGAGGAAGACCACAAGGAAAGGTGTACCCCAACTCTCTCGGGTGGACAGGAAGAGGACAGCAAGTACACAATCTGTCTGTCTGTCTGTCTGTCTATTTCTTTGTCTGTCTGTATGTCTATCTATCATCTTCCCCCCTCTTCTACCTCTGTCTAGGGTGGATCAAGGGAAAATAAACCTCAAAAGAAAAGAAGGGGCAAGTAATAATGAGATTAGTGTGAGACAAGAGACACCACAACAACAGGTAAAAACATCCCTGCACACCTGTTCACTTCCTCAATCAACACACAAACTATATAAAGTGAATCTTATCACCCAACACTGAATCACCGAGTTCTGGGTTCAGAATCACTGTGTTGTACTAAGTGAATCACAAAACCTCGTATCCTAAGTCATCAGATTCACTCATTTCTACAGTAAAACCTCCATATAGCGGACTTCTCTCTCAATATAATCCGCTAGTTAGGGATTTCACATCTAACGGACCCTCGATATAACGGAATTTCCTCTCCATGGACCAAAAAAAAATATCTGGGTCTAACTTGACGTATATAGAAAATAAACGCCACCATGTCAATACGCACTGGTTACTTACATACCACCATGAATACGCTCTCCAGTCACTACCATTACCATCATACTCCCATAATACACCATCGTAACCCACAAAAAAACTAAAATATTCATCGCTAGCAAAAAGTCAAAAGTGTAAGCGGGTTCGGCCATCACATGTTAAAGGTCACAGGTTAACGTAGGTCAGAGGGCAAGCTGTGCCAGGGACCGGAAGCAAAAACCTATCACGCCTACCTGCACGTACTATCGTCTGGTTCCCACATTTACATCAATGTTCCCACGCTTCCATCAATGTTCCCACGCTTCCATCAATGTTCCCATGTCTTTTAATATACTCGCGGTCTCCTCCATATTCCCATATTTCCCCCCAAATTCCCATACTCTCCTTTAAACTATCATGCTCTCCCTTGAACTCCCATGCTCTCCCTTAAACTCCCATGCTCTCCCTTGAACTCCCATGCTCTCCCTTAAACTCCCATGCTCTCCCTTAAACTCCCATGCTCTCCCATGCTCTCCCTTAAACTCCCATACTATCCTTAAACTCCCATGCTCTCCCTTAAACTCCCATGCTCTCCCTTAAACTCCCATGCTCTCCCTTAAACTCCCATGCTCTCCCTTAAACTCCCATGCTCTCCCTTAAACTCCCATGCTCTCCCTTATACCCCCACGCCTCTCCTATGCCGTCTTTCACCCATTATTTAACCACGTTCATATTCTTCCTCCCTCTCACTCCTCTCTTAGTTCCACAAACATACACACAACTACACACGTTTTCTCTGGTACATTAAACAACACATCCCCTCTCCTCTACTGTCTCTCCCCGTTATCCATTTACTTATTACATGATTCGTGACTCTCCCATGACCCCTACAGCGCTTTCATGACCCCTACAGCGCTCCCATAAGCCCTACAGCGCTTCCATGACCCCTACAGCCTTCCGGCCCCTTCAGCCCTCCATGCCCTACAATGGTTCAGCCCCACAGTGCTCCCATGACCCCTACAGCCTCCCGCAGTCCCTACAATGCTTCCATGGCCCCCCACAGTGCTCCCACAGCCCTACAGCACCACGATCCCTACAGGCTTCCATGACAGCGCAATGACCCCTACAGCTGTTCCATGACCCCTTCCAGCGCTTCCGTGACCCCTACAGTGCCCCCATGACTTACTATTTCTCTTGTCAGTGTTTCCCAAGAAGTCTCACCGCCCACCAGCGCTGTCCACCACTTCTCCGTGTTCACGCTCCCACCGCCGCCGCTCTCCCTCATACTGTTTGTGCTATATGTTGCGTTACCTTCTATCACGTTACAACAAATTTTATTTCGTTTCAGTATTGTATTACAGCACTCCACACACACACACACACACACACACACACACACACACACACACACACACACACACACACACACACAGCTCCATCACCCAAGACAAACATTCAAACTTCCCGAGGACTAAATTTGGATTTTCCATTCATAATTTTTTTTGATT